ACTACACTGTGTTTTGTGTCACACACATGCAGGGCCTCTGGTTGTCTGAGACAGGGCCTCACCGTGCAGCTGGCCCACCCAGGAGGCTCCCCCCAGGGCTGGAGGGGTCACAGCCTGCACCAGTGACGTACAGCAAAACGTTCAGTGAGTAAAACAATCAGCAAGGTAGACTTCACATCCCGAGAGCTTTCCGTGGTAAAGAGTAAGAGGAGAAAAAAGAACCCCTTACGAACATTGTGGTTGAAGTAAGAAATATACATGGGTTTAATTTCTTTTTTCTTTCTTTTTTTTTGGTGCTACCAGGGATTGAACTTTGAACTTGGGACCTTGTGCTTGTAAGGCAGGAGGTGGAACCACTGAGCTAAATCACCCACACCAGGTTTAATTTCTATAAGCAGTTCACAAGAGAAGCCTGTTACAGTCCCATAAATTCTTATATTTTACAGGATAAAATACACATTTTGTATAGACTCTTAAAAGGTACCAGTTAATATTCTAATTTTTGAAACACAAAAGAGTGAGTGCTTTGCCATTGTTTTATGTAGACTATTTCACTAAATTATTCTGACCACTATGCACATACGAGAAGAAAATGCAATTGGTCTGAGAAGCACTGTGGGCCATTTCAATTAAATCGAGGCATCGCAGCCTCCTGCCTATGCATGGATGCTAGGGTGCGTAACCCCACACTGCCACTGTCCATACACAGCTCAGACTTCTCAGTGCCCAGTGAGATGCCAGCCCACACAGGGACAGGGCGCCTGGACATGCTTGGCCCTGGGGTTCACTGACCAAATGGCACAGGCCTGGCTTTTACCCCACAAAACTGCCAAATTCGGGGTGCACTGTGGCCACTTCTCCTGTCCTCCCCACCATCCCGAGCAACCCGACTTCCTGCCTTAGGAACACTGCCTCGTGGGATTCATAGTTCCATGCAGGATCTGCAGGACTTCCAGACAAACCATCCCTGCGACAAAGACGCCAAGAAATAAGGATGTGTCTTGCATTGTATGGCTTTGTTGTACCACACTGACGGCTTCTTTGCCTTGTCCACGAGTCCCACTGGGCTTTCTTAATTGTCCTCCTCAGCAACAGAAGTTCACATTTCACTGAGAAGAGGACACTAACTCAGAGATGCCTTCTGTGATGGGCCTGGTAGATGTGTGGAGGCCTAGTCTCTACAGGAGGTGGAATTGGCTGCTGCTATAAACTTAGACTCTGTGATAGTCTCACCTGGTGATGAATTTGTTTATACCTGCAATGTTCTGTAATTTAAACAGGAATAAAAGGAATATGCTTGTCTATTTCAGAGAACTGTTTCAATGTAATATTTACAGTACGGTCACAAAATGAATAGAACCCAGAACTCCTTCTCTGGTGTCTGGTTATAAACTATAATTCTTAACTTGTGTATTCAAATCTAATGGGCTTACCCTAATTGTGGCATACTCCCATTTTAGCTGTCCCCAAATAAGCTTCGCATTTTCCCAGTAAGAATCTAAATTTAAAAGATCTGCACAGTGTACCTACAGGTTAGTGGCAGGGCTAACTGGTGCTCAGGACTTCCTTGTGCACCCAAGGAGAGCAGGCAGCAGTCTCTCAGGTAGGGGCTCCCTGGTCTCTGCGGCCCTGGCCTCCTAGAGTCCCCTCTCCCAGGCAGCCTTCTGGACTAAGCACTGGGGAGGACACAGCCTGCTCTTTCCCGGTGTCCATCGACCTCCCTTGACTGGAGCTGGCCCGGCATCACTCCTGGTGAACGACATGGCTTTGGAATTTTGTTTTTGGGCTTGGATTATGAATATCTGCTGCTCTTCCTATCCATGGAGGGCGGCTACTCTACATTAACGGCATTTGTTATGGACAGAATCATGAGGAAGGACTAATCACTGGAGAAAACCCTGGCTGCCGTCCAGGAAATGCTGGCATCCCTGGGTTCCACCAATGAGTAGAAACATAATGTGTCTTTCCTCAGAGTTTATTTGAATCAGTCAGTATTTCAGGGAGGCATTTCTAGGAGCCTACACACATTTAAACAGTGACTAGGCAGGAAAAGTATTTAGGATTAGCTTACCTCTGGATAAGCAGGGTGCTCTGCATGTCAAACTCAAATGTACCCAGAACTTGTCAACCTCTTGTCCTCCCTTATACAGATAAAGACACTAAAATTACTTCCAGACCCAAAGCAGGAGCTGCAGAATCACCCTTGATTCCTCCAACTTTCTCCTGTCTACCTGCAATCTAATAATCACCACGGCTTGGCAAACCTGACAGTGAGCTCTTTCTTCCTTTCTGTCCACTGCCCTGACCTTGAACGGCTCCAAAATGTCCACCCGCACTCCTGAGAGCCCTGCCGCAGCTCCGTGGTGGTGTCCCCTCGCTGGGCTGTTCAGGGTCAGTGTTTTCCGCAGCACTGTGCTGTGTCCGCCTGCCCTTTCCATTCTGAGCTTTCTCCTTGCCGCTGTTATCTCTAGTCTGATCTCTGTCCAGGACTCAGACTCACTGGCCAGCCTGACCTGAGTCTCACCAGGGCCTCGCTTGCCCTGCCTCAGACCCATTCTGCACTGAGGTTTCCATCTCAGAAAACAGCACCTCCCTCCACTCAGACTAGACCCCAGCCCGGACGTGCTCCTGAGTTGTCCTCCCGCCCCCTGCACTGGCTTCTGTGTCTGAACTCTGCCCTGCCCCATGCCCACTCCTCTCTCCGGGAGGCCAGACTCACCTATGCCTGGATCACCACACCTGTCCCTGACTGGCTGGAGACTTCAGGCACGAACCTGTGCCCGGCTCCTTCCGCCCTGGGATGAGGCCAGACTCTGGGCCCAGTCGGCCTCAGGCCCCTCTCCTCCACCTGCCCTGCCCTGCCCGCCGCTCTCCCTCTGGTTCTCCAGGCTCCCTCTGGCTTGGGGCTTGGTTTCTTCTTTCCCTTCTGGGTTTTGTGACTTATTTTCCTTCTCCCCTTCTTTTCCCTAACCAAGGATTCATTTTCAGATACCATTATCACTTGGACAACTTCTTGGATCCTCCTCCCTCGGAATGGGGCCCGGTGGCCGGATCAGCTCTCAGCACACACCTGCCGGTTGACAGCACCGTCTTCAAGCGCTCTCCCTGCCTCTCCTCTCCTGAAGCCGGGATGCACTGCTGGGAGCTCGGGTGTCTGCTGGACAGCCCAAGGCCTCCGGGCCACTCCCGGCTGCGGCTTGACTCCTCCGCTGGCTCTCGCTGATGAACAGCTTTTCCCAGCCCACGCTCCCAGCTCAGGCGGACTCAGTGCCGCTTCCTCTTGGGCATCACGGGCGCTCACTCCCTGCTGACCCGGGACTTGGGCTCCTGGGCCGGACAGCGAGGTTCTGGAGGCTCAGGACGCCCGCTGACTTCGGAGGCTATGTGCCCCGCATGCCGTGGGAGCCAAGTATTCACCCCGTGGAAAACAAAGTTAAGTCTGTGTCAAGTACTCTTGAAAAAAGACTGAGAAAAAGACAGGTAAGGCGAGAGGCGTGCGTGCTACCGACTGTGACCACGAGCGTGGGTGGCTCGCACATCCTGGCGAGATTGTGGGACAGACCGGCCTCCTCCCCACACTCCCGCCTCTCCGCAGCACTCACTGGGACAGACAAACTGATCGCGCCCAACCCCAACCCCGCTCTGCAGGAGAAAAGAGACAGAGCCAAGTCAAGCGAGCTGGAAATGCTTCACGAGTAACAGTCAACTGTGAACTTTAAAAGGTCAGGTCAGGTCAGGAGCCCAAGTCCGGGCTCCGGGGTTTAACTTCCGGCCCTGCCCCTTTCTAGGTCTGAGAGACCCCGGTCACCAAGCGGTTTCTCCTCCTGCGCAGTGGGAATGACCACGGCACGCACTGCACACTGAGGTTTGTGCGGGACGAACGTGGGTAGGCCCGAGGGTTCGGAACAAAGCTCAGCGCACAGCATCAGTTACTGTTCGCTGTTATTATCGTTATCTTGAATAGTGGCTGCTTACTTAATAATCAACATTAGAATCTGTTCTTAAACTGTAAGAAAGGGCCCCTGAGACAGGGAGCTGGAAGAAGACTCTTAAATATTCTAAACTACTTGGGTACTGATACAGGAGCAGCTGAGCGGATAAGCACATCCTAGAAGACCACAGTTGGTACTAGGTCCTAATTAAGACCCTTTAATTCAATTGATGCACTTTGCAAAATTACTTATAATTTTATTTCTCCATTTTCACATTTATAAGTACCCTACAATTAGGGTATGGGTTAGCTAACAAATGATTATCAAGGACTTTGAAAATCTAAATACTGAAGTAACAAATTATCTTATAAGCACCTAATTTATTAACAATATAGCATATTACGCTAATTCCTATAACGCCTTCCAACTCTAGTTCTTCTAAAGTCTTAATTTTCTCAAAGAACATTATAAAATTATGTATAAAAATAAATTTCAGAATCTGGTTAGCTTGAGTTCTTAGAATACTATCAGGTTTAAGATGTAAATAGAAATTACAAAATTATGTCTTATAATTCTAAAATCATTATCACTGCTGAAAAAGTGGCTTCCTGAAATTTTGATGTATCTATTTGAAAATCTGATCTTAAAATGCTGTTATGATATTAACTGAATTCCAGCTCAAAAGCCACAAAGATGAATTTCAGAAATACTTTGATGCAGCCCGCAATTCTTGCTAAGTGAACAGATCGTGCCTTCCAGACGGGTCAGCAGCACAGCTGGATCCCGGGCCCAGTCTGCGGACAGGAGACCGCCTGGGCGGCTACAGCCCACGTCTCCTGGAACATTAGCTGCAGCTCCTTCTCCCGCTGATATTTTCTCCACTTACCAGGCTAATTTCCACTTCACCTCCGTTTCCTTTTCAACTGAAGGATGAAATGGCTTAACGAATTAATGAATGAACGAACAAGGAAACCCAGGGAGGAAGCGCAGCAAGGCAGAGACTGTGTGGGCTGCTGCCCTGCCCGGGAACCGCCGCGCCTCCCTCCGTGACCCGGCCGGCCCACGTACCTGGAAGAAGCCTGGCGGCACGGGACCCACGGGCATGCCGTCTCCAGGGGGGATGTTTCCCAGCACGGGGCTGGGAGCTGCCGCCGCACTCTGCAAAG